GTGCCACAAAAGCCAGGCAAGTCTGTGACACAAAAGCCATAAGGAAAATGTCTACGACGCAGCGAGGCAACGTGCATGACGGAAGTGCTCGGGCCGCGGCGCCGCAGCGTGGGGGTGTTTATGACAGCACATGACATGACAGGAACTAGCGAGTGACGTCATGAGAATTTGTGACGAGGTCTCGGGCATACCTCGTCATGCATGACACGTTTGGTGGCTCTAGATATCGAGCTGAGGGAAGTGTGTGCATGACAGCCCTTCGTGGCGTGTGCCGGGCGACGACGATGCCGGCGCGAGGAGGTTGACGGCGCGAGGCTTCGGCGGGCTGGCGGAGGCCTTCCCCTCGCCCCCGTCGCTGGTCCTGAGGGAGGGGACCCTGGGGTCGTCCTCGTCTGGGAAGCGTGCGAGTTGATAAACAGAGGGGAAAGAGGAACACGTACGGGCATACATGCACATGCAAACACATACAAACACGTTTACGAGACATAAATTCGCAGATATACATGCAAACTAATTTATATCTATTTTTCATACCCCTATATCTGTCACTTTGTCTACCGATCTGCCTGTCTACGATAATACAAAAATGATGATAGCGCTAATGACATCAAAAAGGATAATGACAACAATAACAGACATGATTATGGTAATGATAGTTTTGAAAATGACAATGATGATAATAACAACAACAGCAATAGTAATAATACCACCAGTAAAGATAAAGATAATTATGATGATGATGGTGACGATGACGACGGCGCCCCCCTCCGAGGCCGTCCGGGCCCTCCCGAAGGGGCCGAAGGTGGCTCCCCGCCGATCGCCGGCGGAGGCGCCGACGACGGCGGCCGCGACGCCGATGACGCCGCCGATTCGCGACTTTCTCTTTCCCTGACGAAGGCTCGCGTGGCGTGCGCTCGCGCGCGCCTGGACGCACGCACACGCCAAATCAAGGCGAGCAAAACTGGATACGTGTGTACGCACATGCGGAAATATATGTATATATGTGCACATTCACATCTGTCTAACAATCAATTTAGCTACCTACCTATATACACACACATATATGCATGCATACGTAAATACATACATACACACATACGCATACACAAACACACACACACATATGTACACACATACATACATATGTGCATATATATATATATATATATATATATATATATATATATATATATATATATATATTATATATATATATAAACATACATAATCATGTTTCTTCTAACCATGTAAGTGTATGTTTTCGGGATTACAATGAAATGACATGCCCCCCCCCCCACGCCCACAAGAAAAAGCGCAAAAACTTGCTTGCCATAATGATTTGTTCTTCCCCTTCCCACAAGGAGCGGGGCGTTCGCCCTCCGCGTGGGCGCCCGGGAGCGCGGGCGGCGACCGCTGGCGAGGGCGCCCGCCAGGCCTCAGGGCGCCTCGAGCCAGGATTCCTGCAGTCGATCAGATCAGTATACTCAATATATAACACATGTGCGCATGTATGTACGCATACACACACAACGTCTAATTATATATATCCATGTGTATACACATACACACACACACACACAAATATATATATATATATATATAATATATATATATATATATATTATATATATATATATTATATATATATATATATATTACGGTGAAATGGGAGGACGTCAAGGGAGTGAGTGACCTGGGTTCGTCATCCTCGTCCTTATTGACGGCCTGACCCTCCTCCGCGCAGGTCAGCAAAAGCGCCGGGAAAAAAGATTGTTTGTCCTCTCCATAGGCCACACGCCCACCTTTTTTTCTTTTTGTCTATCACCCCTTTATAGCTCTGGCTGTGACGTAAAACATTCCCGAAATAGCTCATTCTCCAACGTTTTCCTGGAGGGGGAAAGGGGTCAAGCGCCCCAGAAACTGACTGCTGCTCACTTCGCTCCCCTCCCCCCCCCCCCCCCCCCCGCCCCCTTCTCAAGGAAAAGCTGAAACGACTGCCCAGAGAGGAAGGTTTCAGGACGTATGTAGATTCAAATGAATGTTAAAGCCACAGAGATTAGATTGCTGTGGCTGAGTAATCGAGGCAGGTCCCGAATCTCCAGTCACTCCGGTTGAAAAAAAAATCACCGGGCGAACCACAGCGCCAGGCCTCTGCCAGTCCTTAGTCGTATTTTTTGTGAGACGGATTCAGCAACGGAATTAGTCGATGAGGAATGGAGAACGCAAAGTGCAGAAAAAAAACACACACACAGTTATATATACATATATATATATATATATATATATATATATATATATATATATATATATATATATATATATATATATATATATATATATATATATATATATATATATATATATATATATATATATATATATATATATATATATATACTGTGTGTGTATTTTTTCTGCATTTTGTGTTCTCCATTCCTCATCGGCTAACTCCGATGAGGAATATATATATATATATATATATATATATATATATATATATATATATATATATATATATATATATATATATATATATATATAATATATATTATGTGTATATATATATATATATATATATATATATATATATATATATATATATATATATATATATATATATATATATATATATATATATATATATATATGTATATATATATACATTATTCATATAGATTCATTACATAACCCTACTGAATAACGAGACTTTAATGACTAGCTTGTAGGATGTGTTGACTAGACGATTCTGTCTCACTTTTGCTCTTATCATATGTATTTCTTATTATTATTATTATCAAAGAATATATTTCAATACGCCACCTATATATTCTTAGATGATTCTAGAATAAAAAAGAATAAATTTTATAGTGATACGCCTGCGGCTCAGA